TCAGAGGCCAAGGAGAACAATTTTTCTCCCTCCTCCTCCTTGTAACGCCCTTTTAGATACTTGAAAACCGCTCTCATGTCCCTCCTCAATCTTCTCTTTTCCGAGCTAAACAAGCCCAATTCCTTCAGCCTTGCCTCATGTTTTCCAGACCTTTCACTGTTTCTCAAGAAGGCCTGCTCTGGAGAGGTCTACACTGCAGTTTAAGTCTAGGGTTTGAACTCAGAGTGAAGCCTACACCCATTCTGACTACACACAAACAGCCTGACCCGGAGCGTGGACCCAGGACCCAGCAGGAGCGGAAAGGCCAAGCCTGAGTCAAGCTGGGACCCGCCGGTTCAAACCCTATTGCTATGCAACAAGGGTGCAGCCCTGTTGGTCTCATGCCGTGGGAGTGTGCTAGGGTATGTCTACCCTATCCCCCTAGTTTGAACTAGGAAGGCTAATGTAAGCATTAGCCAGGAGGAGTAACAGGTAATTCGAATTACCGTTTAACTGCCACGTGAAGCTGCGGGCAGTTAGTCCGGACTAGTGGCATTTAAAAATGGCGGCCGGACGGGAACATGCAAATAAAGCTCGGGATATTTAAATCCTGGGCTTCATTTGCAAGTTCGAATGCCTACATTAGCCTCCCTAGTTCGAACTAGGGGGCTAGTGTAGACATACCCCTAGATGTAGCCCACAATCCCATGGGCCGACTTTCTTTGTCTTCCGGAGAGTCAAGTTTTCCCACAAGGAACTAGAGGAGCCACGGGTTGGGAGGATGCTAGGAAGTCTGGATGATGGGGGGTTGGACTCAGGCTCACGGAACGTCCCGGAAAGGGACTCAGGTTCAACAACGCCTAACCTGGGATTACCAGACACACAAGCTCAAACCCTAGGTGAACAAAAGCAGGTCTGAGCACAGTCCTACTGGCCCTATTTTGGAGGCAACGCTGAGCCTCACAACCCTGCGCACAGTATTTCGAAATTCTGCACGTTTCAGTGGTTAATAAATAAACCTGGCTCCA